AGCAAAAGGTCGAAAATCGAAGTCATGACTATAACAACCATTTTTCAGGCAAATTGGACAAAATTTGACTTGGTTAATCGATTAACCATTTGCCAGTGCAAATGGGTTAATCGTTTAACCCTTGTAAAAAATGCAGATTCTGCTGCATCTTCATGACACCAACTTTTCTCTCAACATTTTGGGGTCTACTTGGTTCTAGTATTGTGTGGAACATTCTCGATATCTCTAGACATTTCAAGACCTTTCTAAACACTCCAAAGCATTTACTCCAATACATCAATTTGAATTATCTTCATCATAATTCATTTGCAACAACCAAGGCAAATCTTCGCCTTGTAGGTTGAAATTTCTCACTCACTTTACTGTTTTGATAGCTTACGTATCGTTTGCGATGTAATTTCGATAACTTTTGTGTGCAAATTGATTATTGTATTGCTTAATCCTTGATCTTGATGAGTTAATTGATTTCATTGATGATTATTTGCTGTTTTTGTACTTGATTTTCGTGCATAAATGTTTGCCTTAGTGTTGCACCCCAAAATTTGCCTTCACTTTTTCTAACTTTTTTCTGACTTATGTTTCGCGTTCATATGCATATCCATTAGGTCGTGAGCTCATAATCATACTTTGCATGGTATTCTAAGACATGGGATCAAAGGTTGCTTGTAATGTTAGTGTTCACCCTTTCAGAGGCGATTCATTTGGTTATTTCACAAAAGTTGAGGGAAGAAGTTGAATTCTGTTCATTTGTAATCTTTTTTAAAAGAGATATAATCAAGAAGGGTTGTGCATTGGAATCCCTCCGAGCAATTCAAGTCATTTCTGCATCAGTGTGTGTTCAAGAGAGATCGGAGTTTTTATCCATGTTTAAGCTTGAGGACGTGCCATTGGCTTGAGTTTCACTGGATTAAGTTATCTCAAATAGATGTGGATTCGTTTACTTATGGATCATTAGTTCAGACATCAAAGTTCTTGGAAGTTGATTTTATTCAAGGATTTGGTTCAAGCAAGGATAGAAAGTGCATTATGATTTATTTGGAATTTTTAGTCAAGTTCACCATCATTCATCATTCAAGTTCAAATTTGGCATCCATTTCTTAACTCATCTCCCCATGATAGGGTGATTCATTCAAGATAACATTGTTGTTGATTGATATATGTTTTGTGTTGCTTTAAGACTTTAGTTCTTGTGTGTTGTTTTATTCTAACCATTAGGAACCTGTGTCTGGTTGCATTTCTTGTGTTTGAGTCATTTAATCCAATTTCGGAGAAATCTTTTTCTTGAGCAAATCCTCTTGTTTCATCAGGAGTCATACTTTGCTTGCAGGCAAGCAAAAATCTAGTTGGGGAGAGTTGTTAGATGCCCAACTTTGCTTATTTGATCTATTAAATATGGGCATCTTTCACTCCTTTTTGTCAAGAGAGTGTTAAAATTCACTCTTGCTTTGCTTGTTTTGCAACATTATGTGAAAATATCTTGATACCTTTGATTTATGTGTTATTGTGCAGGAATTAGGCACGAAAGAGTGAAAATTAAGACACAAGAAAGATGACAAATAAACCAAGACAACATGCAAACAACAGCAAGTTCGCTAGGCGAACTACGTAGCGAAGGCCTGAAATCCAAAACAGTAAGGAAAGGGCAATAAACTCGCTAGGCGAAGGAGGCAGCGAAGAGCTCGCTAGGCAAAGTGGTAGTGAAGAGGTAGCGAACACTACCAGACTTGAGATAGTAAGTAAAGGGCCATAAACTCGTTGTGCGAAGTTTGCAGCGAAGGATTCGCTAGGCGAACAATTCTTCACACATCTACTCTTTCAAATACATTTAACATTAACTCTGCCAAATACATAGAGGTTCAACTATTATAAACTATATTTGACAGCTACTCTTTCAAATACATTTAACATTAACTCTGCCAAATCGTCCATCTTACAAACATACTTAACACAAAAAATTACATATTTAACAGACCACCTAATTTATTTTGTCTAAGCTATCTATATTCATCATAGTTCTCAATCTCTTGAACAAGTCAACTTGCACAACCTTCATCGTGATATATGTAATTTGATTCTCACTTCAACAATATTCTAAGTTCAGATTTCAATTTGATACTTTCTTTCTAAGATAGTGGATTCTCGTTTCAATGTGTTTGCTTTTCCACGTGCTATCGAATTATCAGTCAAATCGATAGCAGACATGTTTTCGATTTTCATGATCATTGCTCCATGACTTTAAATTGCAATCTTTTCGATCAGGTTTGCCATCATGCTGCTTGACATGCGAAACAAAGACAGTTATGTATTCAACCTCACATGATGATAGCGTTACAACTGCCTCTTTTCTTGAGCTCCAAGTAACTGGTGCACCATATAGGATAAACATATAACCAGTTGTGGCTTTCTATCCTAAGCATCACCACACCAATTTGATCCTCGGTTTATCCCATTAGTCTGCATTTCTTTCCTTCATCTGATGTAGGAAACAAAATTCCATAATCAATAGTTCCTTTATGCTCGATCAGGCCTTATGCGACAAGGGTATCTTAATGATCCAATGAGTCTTTTATACTGAGTTTGATAGACTTCAACTTCGTCTCAATCTTGTAGAATTCGATATCAAGGAAATATAAAATGTTGCCCATGTCAGGCATTTCAAATCCCTTACTCAAGTCACTTTTGAAATCTTTCATCTCTTTCTAGCACCTACATGTTATCAACAGACCATCGACATAGAGATATAGTATAAGCAGATCACTCCTGCTTCTCCTAACTTATAAATACACAAGTCTTTACTTTTCTAATCAATGTGGGACTTCCTCATACTTTATTTCTCCATCTGAAACAACGCATATGTTCTTTTGTGAGTTTGCAACCTCACCTCTTTCACCTTCTCAGCAGTTCTAAAAGATTTCTATAGGATGCTCCATGTTTTCTTCGATGAGTCTACATCACCGAATTTTTTCAAAGTTATCTGAGTCAACCAAAGAAGAAAGATTATAAAGAAGGCTTATAAAGATTATAAAGAAGGCTTTATAATTTTTCCTCTTCAAATTTTTATGTGCAACATTTTGTTCATATGTTGCATCTTCACTAATTAGTGTTACTTCATTCTTCACAAGAATCCAAATGTCTTGATAGCAGAAGACAACTTTCATCTACTTACACCAATTATCAGAATTCTTATCATTCAAGGAAGAAAGATAAAATTTTTTTTATGAGCAACACCCTTTGTGAGAGACACCACGTACTCACCTCAAAACTTTAAGGTGATAGATATACAAATTATCTCACTTGTAAATACTCAACTCTCCACTTTTCTAATTAATGTAGAACTTCTCCGCATTTTATTTCTAAAAGTTTTCAACTTCATAGTTGTTATTCTCAACGGTACCTTCTAAACATAGTCGTAATCTAATTGAATGTTCACTTTCCATTTTGTCCGCCATATGCAAGTGGCGCTTTTAGTTGTTCATGAATTTAATTATAGTGATGAGTTTTTGTCCCCACAAATCTACACGACAACCATATCAAATCAAATGATAAAGACGTGTCGTGTCTGTCTTGACACCTCTCCATATGTTAACTTGTTGTGTCTTCTACTAACTCTTCTTTCTAGCTCCAGAAAAGAGTAAGAAAATGGAAAGCATTGATACTACAACCAAGCCTAACCTTAATTTGAATGAGCGCAAAGCATTTGATGAAACCAAAGCTGGTGTCAAAGGACTTGTTGATGCAGGTATTAACAAGATTCCAACCTTATTCCATCATCAACCTGACAATGATCAGAAATCCAACAACACAAACCATGCTATTCCTGTCATAGATCTTGCAGATATTATTGATAATAAACAAGATTCAAATATTCACCAAGGGATTGTTCACAAAATCAAAGAAGCATGTGAAACTTGTGGTTTTTTTCAGGTTGTTAATCATGGAATTCCTTTGAAGGTTCTTGAAGAAATGAAAGATGGTGTTAAGAGGTTTCATGAGCAAGATATTGATGTCAAAAAAGATTTATATACAAGAGATCAGAATAAATCTTTTATTTATAATAGCAACTTTGATATTTATAGCTCACCAGCACTCAATTGGAGAGATACTTTTAAGTGTTACTTGGCTCCTGATACACCCAAACCAGAAGATATTCCTGCAGTGTGCAGGTATGTTTGTATGCAAGTGTATAAAATTTACATGCTCCTTGAACTTTGATTATTATCGTTTTCATTGCATGCAACATTTCAAATTAAAAAGTCAATATAGCAACTCTAGGTGCTACAATATCCTGTCGCGTATTAAAATATTATCCAAACTTAGCTTATTTATTGCTGCAATGTAGGGATATACTGCTGGAATATGGGAAGCACATGATGAACTTAGGGACTCTACTGTTTGAACTGTTATCAGAGGCTTTAGGTCTGAATCCAAACCATTTGAAAGATATGGAATGCGCTAAAGGAATAATTGCTCTTTGCCATTACTATCCTCCATGTCCTCAACCAGAATTAACTATTGGAACACCAAAACATTCTGATAACGATTTTTTCACGGTCCTTCTACAAGACCATATTGGTGGCCTTCAAGTTCTTTATCAAGATAACTGGATTGATGTTACACCTGTGCCCGGGGCTCTCATAGTTAATGTTGGAGATCTTTTGCAGGCAAGTTTTCTGTCTTTTATGTGTTTATTTCCAAAAACTTATAGTAATATTCTATAAATCCAGGACACAAAAATGTAGCATGTTTGCATAAGAATAAAAATATCCGTATAGATAGGTCGATTATCGTATACCTGAGATTTTGAAGAATTGACTGATGGAGAGAGTATGAGAGCTAACTACTCCCTTTGTGGTCTAGCGTTTCGGTCTTGGTTAACTGTCTATGGTTGCTTACTTTACAAGTTTGGTATTGATATTCGATTATTTTTCATAGTCTCTTGCGCAAGTGAAGTGAATGAATTTCTTGTGTCAGCACTAATTATGTGTTTGTTTGAATTGTAGCTTATAACAAATGACAGATTCAAGAGTGTTGAACACAGAGTTCTTGCGAATCATGTTGGTCCAAGAATATCTGTCGCATGTTTTTTCTCCACAGGTTATAGGTCATCCTCAAAACTGTATGGACCTATTAAGGAGCTTTTATCAGAAGACAATCCTCCCAAATACAGAGAAACAACAGTTGCTGAATATGCAGCATACTTTGATACAAAAGGACTAGATGGCACTTCTGCTCTTACACATTACAGGATTTGAATTTGGCAATATGGAAGAAAATATCAGCTTAAACTACTAAGAATAAGCTTGGTGAATTAATGATGGTGTAGTTATTCATCAATTCCACATGATTGTAATATGAACTAGAATTATGATGTGGTTTCTATTTCATGCAAATGGATGAATTGCATAGTATCTAAACATTCACTTATTGAAAACAAATGTCATTTGTTTATCGCTGTTTATGTTAGATCGTTGTTTTCATAGTAACTTGCTTTAACTTTAATGTGTGTTTACATTTTTGTCAGAATCTTGTTGGATGTAGAACTCTTTAAGGTTGTGATTCGATCATTTATTTACGTGTCTTGTGTTATTGAAATCCCAGCAACAAGTTATTGGCCAAAATGTTGACGCCCTTGCACCAAAGAGTAATCCTCTTGTCAAGTAGAAGTGGAGTAACTACCTTAGCAACTATGTCCCTAGTTGGGAAATGGGCATATAATAGAAGTTAAAGGTAGGAGTTCTCACTAAGTCAAATGTATGAGCTTGGAGGAGATATCTAAGTTGCTAAAGTTAGGGATCAAATTTCTCACTCAACCATATGTAAGAGCTTGGACAAGAAATATGATTGTCTGAAGTCGAGGTCCGAAGTTCTCATTCATCCAAACGTGAAAGCTTGGAGAAAGAGTATGGCTTCTAGAGACTATGGGTTGAGATTCTAACTCAATCAAGCGTGGGAGGTGGGTAGAGAAATCCAAATGGTTGAAAATCGAGGGTTGAAGTTCTCGCTCAACCGAACGTATGAGTTTGGAAGGAAAATCCGACTTGTTGAGATTAGGGGTCGAGATTCTCACTCAAATAATTGTAGGAGCTTGGAGGGGGGTCTGGCTTGCAATCCTGCACAACATAAACATGTATCAATTTCAAATTAAAACACATTAGTTAATAAGTATATAGATTTATTAGTTGATAAGAAGATAAATTGTGTAAGGTGTTTTAATTGGTTGACTTAGTTGGATGATGTTCTATTCAGAAACCAGAAATAGATATATTTAGAAAACTAATGATCTTGAACGTTGTACGGTGGGATGGACCTGCATGATTAGCACTCCAACGCCTAAGTCATCTTACCTGCCATATGCAAGTGATGTTTTAGTTGTTCATGAATTTAATTATAGTAATGATTTTTTGTCCCCACAAATATACAGTACAACCACATTAAATCAATTGATAACGTGTCTGCCTTGACACCTCTCCATATTTTAACTTGTTGTGTCTTCTATTAACTCTTCTTTCTAGCTCAAGAAAAGAGTGAGAAAATGGGAACCATTGATACTACAACCAAGCCTAACCTTAATTTGAATGAGCGCAAAGCATTTGATGAAACCAAAGCTGGTGTCAAAGGACTTGTTGATGCAGGTATTAACAAGATTCCAAACATTTTTCATCATCAACCTGACAACTATCAGAAATCCAACAACACAAACCATGCTATTCCTGTCATAGATCTTGCAGATATTATTCATAATAAACAAGATTCAAGTATTCAACAAGGGATTGTTCACAAAATCAAAGAAGCTTGTGAAACTTGGGGTTTTTTTCAGATTGTTAATCATGGAATCCCTTTGAGTGTTCTTGAGGAGTTGGAAGATAGGGTTAAGAGGTTTCATGAGCAAGATATTGAAGTCAAAAAAAGTTTGTATACAAGAGATCAAGATAGATCATTCATTTATAATAGCAATTTTGATATTTATAGCTCACCAGCACTCAATTGGAGAGATACTTTTATGTGTTACTTGGCTCCTGATACTCCCAATCCACAAGATTTTCCTCTAGTATGCAGGTATGTTGTATAAAATGTTGTTGAAATTAAACTTAATCCTCAAATCCTCAATTTTTTTTGCTTCTAACTGCCTACTTATTCTTGCAGAGATATATTGCTAGAATATGGGAAACACATGATGAATTTAGGGACTTTACTGTTTGAATTGTTGTCAAAAGCTTTAGGACTGAATCCAAACCATCTAAAAGACATGGATTGTGCTGAAGGACTTATTGCTCTTTGCCATTATTATCCACCATGTCCTCAACCAGAATTGACTGTTGGAACAACCAAGCATTCTGACAATGATTTTCTCACAGTGCTTCTACAAGACCATATTGGTGGCCTTCAAGTTCTTCATCAAGATAAATGGATTGATGTTAAACCAGTCCCTGGGGCTCTCATAGTTAATGTTGGAGATTTTTTGCAGGCATGTTTTCTGATTTTTAAGATATTTTGCTGGAAGAGTTGATAAGAGATTTAAATATATATAGCTAATTGTTTGTTTGTTTGAAATGTAGCTTATAACAAATGACAGATTCAAGAGTGTTGAACATAGAGTAGTTGCTAATCATGTCGGTCCAAGAATATCTGTTGCATGCTTTTTCTCCACAGGGTTTAGGTCATCCTCAAAGCTGTATGGACCTATGAAGGAGCTTTTATCAGAAGACAACCCTCCCAAGTACAGAGAAATTACAGTGGCTGAATATGTAGCCTACTTTAATGCAAAAGGATTAGATGGTACTTCTGCTCTTACACATTACAGAATTTGAACTAAGCACTATGGAAGAAAAAAGATTAGACCATACGCATAATTGAGAATAAACTTGGTTAGTTTATGATGGTGTAGTTTGTCATGTATTCCACATTGTGATATGAACTCCAAATATGATGTGGTTTCTGTTTTATGCTATAGACAGATGCATCAATTTCTTGGTTTTGAATAACAGTCATATATTATGAAGTAATTGATGATGCCTTTGCATTTGAATACCCTTCTTTAGATCCATTTCTTGAACCCGAACCGGTTTAATTTCCTGATTTTGGTTGTTTTTATTTTGTTATGTGGCTTTCTTATCTTGAGTATGCTTCGGAGGTCTAATTAGTATGTTGAACACTAGCTGTATCAGTTCTTCAATACGTAGTTTTCAATCAATTGTGCATTGACAATGTGATTTTTCTCTTTTCCAAACACATTTTAAGTGGTGTTTGTTTTGACGGCTGCCTAAATGTGGACACTCTTGAAACTTGAGAATCATAAGATTGGTGAAAAATGGTGACTCTTTTGGTCAATTTAATCACTAAATCAAATTGACCACTTGATCTTCACTTATCTATTACTTCAATCTCAACCTAATTTGATTAACAAGTTCTCTCAAGTAGTGAAACTTTATCTTAATATGCTTACATCTCCCATGTGCAATTGGGTTCTTAACATAGATAACCATGGAAATGTTATCAACCATGAGCGATGCAGCATCACCCTCTTCGCTATCCAACTCCTTCAACAAATTCGCCAACCACACGTTTGGTACGCACGCAACAAAGTTGCAATGTACTCATCCTCACAATAAGAGAGTGTCGGTACCAGTTTCTTTTTCGAACACCATGAGATTGATGTTTCACCAAACATAAAGATGTATCGAGATGTAGACTTTTTATCATTCTTATCTCTGCACCAATTGGAATCGATAAACTCGAGTTAATTGCATTTTCTGCCTTTGTATATTGCATGAAAGAAAATTCCTCAGCCAATAGATCATTTGATATATCTTAGAACTCTCTTGATTGCTGTCAAGTGAGACACCTTCAGTTTCTTCATGAATTTACTCACAATAACGACACTAAAAGTTAAATCTGGTCATGTATTGGTCAAGTAAGGCAAGGATCCAATCAGCCTCCTATGCTGAGTTGGATCATTTTGTTAATCCTCATTCTTCGACAGTTGTAGCCTCGGTTCAGCCGGAGTAATGGCAGCATTGTAATGCTCCATTTCAAACTTCATCAAAATCTCAAGCGCATATCTTCTTCGGTGCATGAGCAGTCCCTTTTTTGACTTGTAAAACTCAATATCAAGGAACAATTATTTCACTAGTGTAACTGGTTTACATATTAGTGCAACCGTTGCACTCTGCTGCACTTCTTTAATTTCGTCGAAAACAACGTCTCGGCTGATCACAACTCTTCTAATTGTTGCATCATACAATTGCTAACCACCGATAGATTGATATCCTACAAGAATCATGAATTCTTCTTTATCACCCAGTTTCTTTCTAAGTTGTCTCAGCACATGTCGATATGCTACCGAACCGAAATTCTCAAGTGACTCAGATTTGATTTAAATCCAGACCATGCTTTCTCCGTTGTTATCTTCTCAAGTTTCTTTTTTTGACACTTATTCAACAAATATGCAGTTGTGGACACCGTTTCAACAAATATGCAGTTGTTGACACTTAAAAAAATTATTAAATAATATAATACTATACATTAACAAGTTGAAAAAAAATCATGTTACCCGGTAAAAATAAAATTATATTTTTACATTATTGGAGATCATGAGTCCAACAAATAACTCACTAGTCCGACCAGTAACTCAATGATTCAATAGCATGATCGGGCTGATTTTGAAACGTTGGTATTTTCCCCTTCTTCTAATAATGTTACATCCTGATTTTTGAGTTAAAATTGATCAAACTAATTATTTTTCCAACAAAATATGATATTAAGCTAGAATTGAAGTACAATTTCTCATTTTTCTGTAGAATAAATCCAACTTCAACTACCAATATGCACGGTTACAAACAAATTTCTTTTTGTTTCTTCATTTCTGGTTCCTAGCATATCATGCTTGTGTCAAATCAATCAAACCCAAAGCAATCATTTATTTGTTTCTATCTCGTCTTTTATAATGTGCATAACAGAATTTCATCATATTGCTCCTCTCTTCATAATTATTCCTATTTTCTTTAACATGTCACTGTACCTAATACATCACTGCTTACCATCAACCAGTTCAATTGTTCTTTGGCTCATTCAGGTAATGTCCTTATTTCCTACCCTTCTTCATCATTCAACCATATTTTTTCAACCGCTCAAACCCAACAAAATTTTCTTCTCTATTATTTTTCTTTAGTGTTATCTTTCTAATTGAATGTAATTGATTTCCTCAATTTCTTTCATGTTATCTTTCAATAATGGTATCACTACAAGAAAAACAGATATTAGTTAGGCGCATTTGCTAGGGATAAATTTCCTCACTAAAAAAACAAATTTGATTGGGGTTAAATCCCTTGTAATGTACAAAATATTCAAAATATATATATATATATATATATATATATATATATATATATATATATATATATATATATATATATATATATATATATATATATATATATATATATATATATATATATATATATATATATATATATATATATATATATATATATATATATATATATATATATATATATATATATATATATATATATATATATATATATATAATGTGGGGTGATTCCTTGCAGGTATGTGGAAAAAAAATTTTGAAATTTGAAATTAAAAGTTATTAGGGGTCACCTCTAACAAAAATGAATGAGCACTAAAATGTGCAGACAAAGGTTGTTATTTGCGAAGAAATAACCCCTCATCAATTTTATCTATGCACTTAGTTAAAGGTTACCCCTCACCCGTTATAATGGTAAAGTCAAATCTGTTATAAAAAGCATTTATTTTTGTTACCAAAACTTGCAACATAACAGAAAATGTGTCTACGACATGTCAACATTAGCTACGTGCACAAAATACAAAATGCGGATGCTTTAGTTAGGGGTTTATCCCCTAGCAAACTATCTGACATGTCTGTGCCACTAGTCTGCACCTATGTCTGCAGTGTAGTGGACTAAATTTTATAAGTTACAATTTGCGAGAGACTAACCCCCAGCCAATTTTGTGAGGAGTTTATCTCCTAACAATTGATTTGCGATATCCTAATTAGGTATGGGTCATATCCACTCGCAAATTTGAATTTTGTAATAGTTTTTTGCACTAAATATATATTTTGTCAATTTCTTCAATCTTTGAAACGAATATTTTTCTATTACACTGGTGTGATTTGTTTGTAAACAGTGTTCTTTGTTTATATATTTTGTTAGTTGTTCTACCTTTTTATGTTATTTTTCTTTAATATTATATTTCTATAATGTTATGGATTACCTCAATTTTTTAATGTTGTCTTTCTTTGTTATAATTATTTTGTCAATTTCTTTAATCTTTGATACCCATGACTTTCAATTACACAACTGTGGTTTTTTGGAAGCCAAAGGTATTTGTTTACACTTTTTGTTTCCTCTGCTACTATCTTTCTCAATTTTTTTATTTTGTAATATTCATCAATTCCTGTTACAGTATATTACATATTTTTCTGAGAAATGGAGGAAAGAACTATTAACAGGTAAAGTTTAAGATGTTCGATTTTTTCTCATTCCTAAAAAGATTCAAAAGATAAAGATGGAAGTTTTTGGTACATATGATTTTCTTTATTTAATTTTATTTTTTATTTCCTTTATTTTAATTTTACTTCTTATTTTAAAGATCAATGCTACATTAGAATGTATAGAAAAAATTTATGATGCCTCCAACGAAACAAATTAGTTACGTATTTTATTTACTGCATTTTTTTTACACCTTCTTGTTTATTTTTCTAATTTTAAGATTATTCGTGGGCAATATTTTCAATATTGTGATGAAGTTATTGATATTATCTTCAACATAGATTTCAAAGGGAGGTTTACACGCTTTAGATATGTCAAGTTTCTAATATAATTAGCAAAAAAATTAAGTTTGTACTCATATAGTGTTTCTGCAAGTATTTTGTCAAATACATTTTGACATTTTATAATTTTCAATATTTGTGTTCTTCTGCTTTCATAATTGTTTCAATTTTGTATAAATCATTTTTTGTGAAATTATTTGTTTGGAAAGGGATTATGCCATTATCCAAGATTCTATATAATTTGTTTACAATACAACTACATTAATTGTAATACATGATTTTCTATTCCTTTGTTAGTGTTTAATGATTTTTTTTGTGTTGTATGTGATTTTAGTTTATGAAACTGTTGAGTATTTGGAGAATGACTTCTCTGAGAAATATAAATTGTTGTTGGTACTCTTTGTTGTTTTCCATGACTTCAACTTCATTCTTTGGATCTTCTCTTCCTTATCTAAAATCTTTGAGAAATTGCATGCAATTACCAATTTTCATTTTCTTTCCATATTCTTCTGCGATTTTTATGATTGTAATAATAGTCAATTAACCACTGCCTTTTCATTGTTTTTATTAGGAGTGGACAAACGAACGGGTAGAGTTGAAATTAGACCAAAACCCCCAATCCGAATATAACCCCAGATGATAAAAATGAACCCATTTCCAACCCTTTGGACTAAACACGGGTCAATTGGATGGTTTTAAATGGATTGAAGTAAACAAAAAAATCTTTAAAATTACAGTAAGATAAGTTAAATCTACTAAATGCAAGAGTTCATAAATTAAAATTACACAATACCCAGAGGTGGATCGTCTGTCAATGGGTGGCCCTGCCCAATCAGCATCGGAGTATTCAACTATCTGGGTATGTCCTTTATCCTCGTACACAAGACCTTTTCCTGAAGCACATTTTATGTATCTCAGAATCCATATAACAACATCCATGTGTTCCTAACAAGGGGAATTTAAGGACTGACTTACCACACTGACTGCAAAAGA